TCCCGACCTCTCCTTCCCTTCTCCCCTTCCCCCTTCGTCGTCTCGACTTGTACCATTCCCCGACCTTCGCCATCCTGACCCCTCCTTTCTCCCCTTCCCCCTTCGTCGTCCCAACCTATACCATCCCCCAACCTTTGCCATCCCGACCTCCTCTTCTCTCCTCGTCTGCTTTGCCATCCCGACCTCTCCTCCCCGTTCTTCTTCCCCCCCCATCCTCTTGTGTGCCACGTGGCACAGTGGCCACATAGATGCCGACCTTATCGCGACCTCTCCCATCCCCTGACCTCTCTCGTTCCGACCTCCCCTCCTCTCCTCGTCTGCCTTGATCTGACATCCGTCTTTCAACCGAGAAATTTCTCAGAATTAAATAATCATTATAGAGTAAAATTACATTCTAAATTTTAAATTTTCATTCCATCTTAAAAAATGTCATTCCAATTTTAAAATTTCCCGTCTTACTTGAAAACTTTTCTTCCAAGAGTGGGGTATCCCTTCTTATTTGAACTGCATTCTAGAGATGGAATGAAAGTCTGGATGAGTTCATGAAATATTTTAATTGGACTGTCATTCTAAGTAAGGATTTCCAGTCATAAATAGGTTAATCCAATCAAAATTAGACGATATTTGTTGTAGTAGAATGAAAGTTTAATTAAAACATTTCATAAACTCGTCCAGACTTTCATTCCATCTTGAACAAATAGATGTAGTTGGAAGGGAAAACTCATATTTAGACGGGAACTTATCAAATTAAATTGAAAATTTTAGAATTGGACAAACATTGGAATGATAATTTATAAATATAAAGGATTTTTTTTTAATGGAATGTTTTTCAACTTTTATTTCTCATGGGAATTTTTCTGTTGTTATTCCCCGACCTCACTCCCCCTTGGAGGCCGTCCCGACCTCTCCTCCCCTCTCCTTCCGTCGTTTCCCTATTCTGACATCGTCATCTCAACTTGTACCATCCCTCGACCTTTCATATCCCGATATCCCCTCCTCTTCACCGAGAGAAGGTTAACAAATGTCTCTATTTTCATGTTATTCAGCTGCTTCAGACGGGTGTGAGGTACTTGGATGGGAAAACATGAAACTGCTTTCAGAAGCTTAAGCCACTTCAGGTCATTTCAAAGGTTTCAGATTCCCACCAGAAACTCTTGTAATGTGGCTGAAGCTTTTGAAAACAGTTTCAGGTCCCCCCATCCAAGCATTTGGATGAGGGGACCTGAAACCGCTTTCAGAAGCTTCAACCACTTCATATCATTTCAAAGGTTTCAGGTCTCCCACCTGAAACGTCTGAAATGATATGAAGTGGCTAAAAATCTGAAAGCGGTTTCAGATGTCCCCATCCAACCATTTGGATGGGGGGACCTGAAACCTCTTTTAGAAACTTCAGCCACTTCAGATCATTTATGAGGTTTCAGGTCTCGCCATCTGAAACTCGAGAAATAATCTCAAGTGGCTGAAAATCTGAAAGCGGTTTCAGATACCCCCATCCAACTATTTGGATGGGGGGACCTGAAACCACTTTCAGAAGCTTCAGCCACTTCAGATCATATCAGAGGTTTCAGGTCTCCCTATCTGAAACTTCTTAAATAATATTAAGTTGCTGAAAATCTGAAAGCGGTTTGAGATGCATCAATCCAACCATTCGGATGGGGGGACCGGAAACCGCTTTCAGAAGCTTCAGCCACTTCAGCTCTTTTCAGAGGTGTCAAGCCTCCCCACCTGAAACTCCCGAAATGACTTGAAATGACTCACAACAACGTTGAGTCAAAACAAAAACAGGCAAAATAAAAAAACAAAAAAAAACATAAAATATGACCCTCAAACCACCCGTAACTCTTGAAATGGCAGGAAGTGTCTTCACGTCATTCCAATGATTTCAGACCTCTCCTAACAGACTTCAAGATCTTTCATTATGAAATTTCAGGAGGTCTCCTCCTCTTCCTTCCCATCCCGACTTCTCCTCCTCTCCCATCCCGACCTCTCCTTTCCTTTTTCTCGTCCGAATCACAATCTCATGTTCTTTCCTCCTCGACCTGTACCGTCTCCCGACCTTTCGTATCCCGATCTCCCCTCCTCTCCCATCCCGAACTCTCCTTCCCTTCTACCCTCCCCCCCTCGTCGTCCCGACTTGTACCATCCCCCGACCCTCTGTCGTGCCATCTGGCATCACCACTTGTGTTCCATTTTTATTCATTCATTCATTATTTTATTCGATTTGCACCGTGTAGCAACTATCCCACAATAGTTCCTCGGGTCCCGATTTCCCCTTCTTTCCCATCCCGACCTCTCGTCCCGATCGCAACCTTTCCCCGCTCCCCTTCTTTCCTCGACCCTTTCTCCTCCCTTCCCCTTCTTTCCTCCTCTTCTTTCCCATCGTAGCCTCTCCTCCCGATCGCGACCTCTCCCCCCTCCCCTTCCTTCCTCGACCTGCCCTCCTCCCCTCGACCTGTATCGTCGACCTTTCGTAATCTGATCTCCCCCCCTTTCCCATCCCGACCTCTCCTTTCCTTCTCCCCTCCCCCCCTCCGACCTTTCCCATCCCGACCTCTCCTCTCCATCGCGACTCTTCTTTCTCCTATCCCGACATCGTCCTCCCAACCTGTCCCGATCCGACCTCCGTCTTTATCCTGTCTCTTATACACATCTAGATGTGTATAAGAGACAGCTCCTCATCTAGACCCTTGTTGCCCTCGCCATCACATCGATGATTAT